TCACAGGTGGGAGTCAAACTTCAGGGTAGCCGATCAGCTGCAAGCAATCAGCATGCCTTAGGCATCATTTAAGAGGGTTTCGTCTTTATATGTAATTTCTGTTGTTCTGTTGGACATATCAGTTTATTTATTTATTTTTTAAATTCCCTTAACTACTTTGTCTCAAGTCATTTCAGAAGATTTAATGGTTAATCACTTTTTACCTGGTCTCAGATGTTTACGCACTGACATGGAACATCTTTCTCCAGAGCATGAGGTGAGCTACTGTGATTATTAGGCCACTGTCATCATCGGGGCCATGTTCATATGTCTGGACATTTCCTGTAGAGACTTTGATCCTTCTTTATGTGGTGCTTGACTATGATATGCTGTGCTTAATTTTTTTTAAAACTAGTTCAGTGTCATTTTATGGGCTTATTTATTAGTTATAAAATCTTGAGGAACTTGTTTAACTCAGTCTTATTCTCTAAAGTAGGGATAACACACTGTATTTCACTGAATATGATGAGAATTTAATAAGATAATGTACATGAAGTGCTTTGTAACTGTAAAATGCTATAAAATGTTAATTATCTCTGACCATCAACTTTCTCAGAAAGTTTGTTTTCTTTCTCCATTTCCTTCTCTTTCATTCCATTCTGTTTCTCCTCCTGCTTCCCTTCCTGTTTTCTCCAAAATCTTATTTTATCATTTACTTCCTATTTTATATCTTCAACCTGTTTTCTATCAGCTTTTCTTCAGCCAATTATAATGCTTTACTCTCTGCTACTAAACAAAACAAAAACTTGCCTTTTCATCCCTCCCTCAAATCTCTTTTTCTTTCTGATGATCTGAACTTTCTCAGCCTTCACACTGTGTGTTGGTACATCATGTTCACTGCCATCACTACTCCAGTGAAACTGCTGTCCTTAAGATCACTGATAATCAAATTGTCACACTGAAGGAATACTTTCAGACATAGTAGCCTCAGGTCTCTCTGTAGCATTTTCTGTTTCAAAACTCCTGTGGCTGTTGGGACACCTTTTTCCTATTTTTTCCCACTCTCTAGTCATTTCTTTCCAGGCTTCCCTCCTTTCTCACCTCACATTTAAATGTTATTTTCTTTTTTCATTTATTAGAATTACTCTCTGAAAAACTTTTGTCTCTGCTCCTCATCTAACTTGCCACCTGTATGTTAATGACTCAGTTCTTCATCTTCTGACCTGACCTCATTCTTGAACTTTAAAACTTCATTTCTCACTGCCTTCTGTATATCCCACCTGGATGGCCCATAGGCATCGTATCAAATTCAGCATGGCCAGTCCCCCCAACTAAAATAACCAGCCTATTACTGTATTTCTGCCATTGTAGCAAATGGCACACAGATTTTTGCCCAAGTCATATACATGATAGCCTCAGATCCTTTGCTTAGGCTGTTCCCAGTGCATAAAACACTCCCTTGTCTCCTTTAAGTCTTTGCTTAAATGTCAACTTCATGAAGCCTACCCTGGAATCCCATGTAAATTGTAACATTCTTCACCTTGACCTTCCTAGTACTCCTTATCTTACTCAATTTTTTCCCAAAGCCTTTATAACCTTCTGAATGTACTACATAATGTACTTATTGTGTTTATTGTGTGTCTCTCCTACAAGAACATAAGTTTCACAAGCAGGGAATGTTGTCTATTTTGTTTGTTTTATCCTTCATGTCTAAAAGAATACCTGGCACATAGTAGGTAGTCAGTAAATGTTTGTTGCTTAGTGACCACTGTACCCAGATATGGGCGAAGAATTTCAGGAGGGACATTCAGTTTCTGGTGTGATTTCCAGCAATTTAAGCTGCAGGTTAGATACCTTCACCCCTTCCATCATTCACTCAGTCCCCTGCAAGGATGATGTTAACTCTTAGACACCCATCACATACTCAGTTATGTTTTAGTAGCCACAGATCGGTATCTGGGCTTAGCTGTAGACATAAAAACAGCATCTTACATTTTGAAACCTGGAATAAGGCAGAGGACATGGAATAGAACATCTTTCACTAGGAATGTATTTGTATGACCTGGTGTGTATATATGCTAAGTATATAGGTGTATATAAGTTTTGCTTTTAACATTAGATGCTGGGGGAAGCTAAGGGAGAATGCAATTCAGATTTAGAAGGAAGGTTGGTGAAAAACAAAATCAGTTGTTAAGTTGTATGATTGAGATCTTTAAAAGCTCTTTCTATACTTAGACTAGCAATCTAATACGAATTCCTTGAACAAAATAACTGCTAAAACTAAGTTTTTAATTAACATTAACTTATCGGAATATTAAAAATTAAGTAAAAACTTTAAACTGTAGTATGTCACTGTGTAAACTGTATTTCACTAAAGTAATTTTCTTTTAATCAGGTTATTTTAACTTCTATGATAAAAGAATGTGAACAAAAAGTAGAGAACAAGACTGTCCAAGAGCCTCAAGGGTAAGACATTAATTCTTTTTTAAGGCTTCCAGCTAACGTTCACTTCT